CCCAGCACGACCACCCCCCCAGCACGACCACCCCCCAGCACGACCACCCCCCAGCACGACCACACCCCAGCACGACCACTCCCCAGCACGACCACACCCCAGCACGACCCCACCCCAGCACGACCCCACCCAAGCACGACCCCACCCCAGCACGACCACACCCCAGCACGACCACACCCCAGCACGACCCCACCCCAGCACGACCCCACCCCAGCACGACCACACCCCAGCACGACCACACCCCAGCACCCACCAGAGCCCCAGCACGACCACCCCCCAGCACGACCACCCCCCCAGCACGACCACCCCCCAGCACGACCACCCCCCAGCACGACCACACCCCAGCACGACCACGCCCCAGCACGACCACACCCCAGCACGACCACACCCCAGCACGACCACACCCCAGCACGACCACCCCAGCACGACCCCACCCCAGCACGACCACACCCCAGCACGACCACACCCCAGCACGACACCCCAGCACGCCAGCACGACCACACCCCAGCACGCCAGCACGACCCACCCCAGCACGCACGACCCCACCCCAGCACGCACGACCACACCCCAGCACGACCCCACCCACAGCACGACCCCACCCCAGCACGGCAGCAAGACCCCAGCACGACCACCCAGCACGAGCACGACCACTCCCCAGCACGCACGACCACGCACACCCCACGCACGACCACAGCAGCACGAGCACGACCCCAGCACGACCTCACCACAGCACGACCACACCCCATGCACGACCATGCCCCAGCACGATCACGCCCCAGCACGACCACCCCCCAGCACGACCACCCCCCCAGCACGACCACACCCCAGCACGACCACACCCCAGCACGACCACACCCAGTCGCACCCCCGTGGAATGTTTCGTGGGGTGTCTCGTGGAATGTTTCGTGGGGTGTCTCGTGGAATGTTTCGTGGGGTGTCTCGTGGAATGTTTCGCGGGGTGTCTCGTGGAACGTTTCGCGAGGTGTCTCGTGGAATGTTTCGCGAGGTGTCTCGTGGGATGTTTCGCGGGGTGTCTCGTGGGATGTTTTGTGAGATGTCGCCCAGTTGGGTATCGTGAAAACGTGACCATGCTGCGCATGTCTATATCCCTTTCCGGGTTCGTGGGTCCATCATGTTTGATGCTGTTCTGAGTGCTCGAAATTATGTTTGGGATGTGCTCCTTGAGCACGATGGGGGCATCATAAGGTAGCTACATATTCGCACTTCGGGGGCCCCAGCCAGAGTTACCCCAGACCGCAGTTTTCCCGGATGCTTCGGGCGACCGCCCTCCCGAAGCATCAGGGTTGGGGCCGTCAGGGGTAGCGATAGTTTCGCGCTTAAATGGGCCCAGACCAGAGGTATCCTCTGACCGCAGTTTTCCCAGATACTTCGGGCGACCAACCCTCCCGAAGCATCAGGTTTGGGGGCCGTCAAAGGTAGCTACAGATTCGCGCTTCGGGGGCCCAGATTGGATGTTTCCTTTGACCGCAGTTTTCCCAGATAGCTAGGGCAACCGACCCTCCGGAATCATCGGGGTTTGGGGCCGTCAGGGGTAGTTACGGATTCTTTGCTCGGGGGCCCAGGCCCGAGCTACCCCGGACCGCAATTATCCTGGATAATTCAGGCGTCCAAAAATTTGGCGTGCAGGATGAAGTGTTTCTGAAACAACAATGCCCGCATGGGACAACCAGAAGGTGAGGGACGAGAGGGCGTCGACACGAGGAATTGCCTTACTCGACAGCAGCGCATGCCCAAGTCCAACATCGGCAAGCGCCTGGCTGAGATCGAGAAGCTGCTGCGAGGAGGGAGCAGCAACGTTGAGAAGCAAGCAACTCCGCCTTGGTCCAGGTTTCTTCATCAACCTGACCCATCGTCGGCCGAGCCGAAGCGAGATGACAAGGAATATGTCAAACGCAGCAAACTTGTTGCTCAAGTTCTGCGTGTCGAGGCCTCCCTCGAATTTCAGCCCACGGGCGAGCCAAGTGAAAACATGGTCAAAAAAGCACAGATGGCAGCTCTTCAGGACAAGTCAAAAAACATGTTATCAAGGCGGAAGGGGTCGATGATGCCCGTGCTCCCGACTTAGGCATTTCAAGCAAAGGCAATTGATCCCTCCCACATCATTTTCGACGAGATCGAAGATCTTGCGCTCAAGAGCTTTATTAGCACAGATGACTTGGCCAAGCCGCGCGACTTGCATTCGCCAAGTATACTTGTCCCTGGTGACAATGACGAGCCGTGCCGAAGATGATGGCAACCCGGACAATTGCCAGTCTGGGGCGGGCAGCTTCAGCGCAGCCGACCAGAACCTCAAGCGAGATTTCCACGACATCAGTATGGGAAGGCAACCAGGTTCGAGGAGTTCTCTGCCAAGGTTCTTCGGATCGGGAAGAATAGCAAAGTAGGTGACGGCGTCCTACTGTCTTGCAGCAGGCTGCGCGGCGGCGAGGTTCGGGGCGCGACCCCCAGCCACCACTCAAGGCATGTGCGCGCTCGCCACCTTCAGCGCTAGAGGTGGCAGATCTACCGTGAAGGATATGACACAAATAACCCCCTTCAACATAGCGCTGATCCAAGAGGTTGGCTCCGCGGCAGCAGCGCAGCGCCATTGCGCAGTTGGGTTACAATCGGATACATTCGGCGAAGGGAGTATTCTTGCGATGCCCGCGCGTCCAACGACGGGCGCTGCGCCATTAGGTTGGGCTGCTGTCCCTGGGCGCTCCGACCTCGGCTTCCGGCGCGCCGCAGGTGGTTCGAGTATTTTCGATCACAGGTTGCATCGCGTTCTGATAGACGCGCCAAGATTGCCCGGCCCGTCTGCCCACGACGTTCACCTGGGGGGCTCCGTCGGCGCCGGCGGCGAGAATGTTGAAGCACTGGCAGCAGTTGGAGCGATCGCGTCTTGCACGGGGACGCCACGCGCCAATGGCGGCGACGGAAACAGTCCAGGTTCTGATCTTGAGTACTCCCGACGTCGTTGGCGATCCAAGATCAAGTCGACTGGACGCCCGACAACAGACTACCTGGGGCTCAACGACGCAGCAGTGAGGTACATCGAGAAATTCAAGTTCAGTCGAGCTGGCACGAAGGGGGCCCGCCGACCTGGCCTTCCCAAGCTTGTCGACGGGCGCGAGATCCAGCATTTCATGCGTTGGGCAATTTCGCGGCCCCAATGCTAGCTACCACCAAGCCGCTCCCAGCCAGTTTCCCGCCCTGGCAATCATCTCCAGGGCCCATGGTCGGCTTGCAGTGCCGTTTGCTGCGGGCGTCGGCAGGAACGCCAGCGACTTTCACATGAATGACGGAGCATGCGGCAGAAACTGCGAGCCTCGATAGGTGAATGCCACATACCAGATGCGCGAAGATTGCGACGTCCCGGCTTTGGGGCAAGGTTGGCAGAGGGGGGAGAGGGCCCTCATAAGCGTCCTGCAGTACGGCCCGAAATTCGGCACGATGACTGAGTGTCCAGAGAAGACCGCGCAGCTCCTGAGCAACGCCCGCCCAGGCGCGGGTCTCAGCAGGCGGTTTGACAATACAGCGCAGCAGGCCAAGCATGAGATCAACCGGGCCCCACTTGACCTCGCCCGCATCCATATCGCGATGGACGACATTGGCGAGGGCGTGGAGCTGGCCATCAAAGATCAGGAGGAGGACCTCGAATGCCCCATGGGCCGAGCGTCGCCAGACAGCAGCCAGTGGAGGATCGCGGCCACTTCTTCCCGCCGCAAAGGTGCGCAGCATGCCAGTTCCAGCAGTTGCGACTGGCGCCCCATCAGGCGACGCGATCTTCTTTGTCAATCAGGAGTTCCAGCTCTATCGACAGTGGCGGGGCGCTAAATCTGCTGCATCATTGGCATGGCCCCCTAGCAGAAGCAGTCGCACAAAGTTTGGCCCAGGTGCGATTCGCAAAGTGGTTGGGAGATCTCCTGCAGGAGCATCGGCTGGCCTGGAGAATTCCCATCCGATGCCTGCTGCCCTACCTGCCCTACTCGACGACGACCGGCGCAGCGTGCTGGCATCCATTTGTCAGGCGCCGGAAGCACGAGGCGCATGGCCAAATCAGCTGTGCATGGCCACATTGGCGGTGATGAATCGGGACTTCTACACGCATGCAAGCACCACATCTGGCAGCGAGAGAGACGTCCACAAGTCCAGCACATGCAGCGAGCGCTGGGCAGGCAGCATTGGGCAGCCGCCAAGGGGCGCTCTGCGACAGACCGCGCCTGGGCGCAAGCCATCCGTTCAGAGTCAGGCCAGTCGCTGCCCCCCCCCCATACATGGTGTTGCGCGCCCCCCCCACATATGGGATCTCACCCCATTCCGCTCCTCCATTGTATTCCAGTGTGCGCAAGTGTATGCACTCTCTTTGTACCGATTGCGCATGCCCCGATGCGGTCCTGTTGGGGGATTCCCTGTCCGTCATCACACGCGGTGGCGGACAGAGAGAAATCAGAGCAATGGGAAGGGATGGGTGGGAGGGGTAGAGAGTCAGATATGGCGCGGCGAGCCTTTCTGGTTAGCTCCCCCTCTTTCCTCCGTTCGTCGCTCCCTCCTCTCCTCCCCCTGTTCCTCTCTCTTACCCTATCTTTCTCACCGCTCCCTCTCCTTCCCCCTCCCCTGCTGTTTCTCCCCTTCCTCCCCCTGCCTTTCCGCATTCCCCCCCCGAGGCCGGGGGTGGAAGCTTCTCGGGCATGCATTGTGCGCGGCTGGGGCAGGAAAGCTGTTCTGCCCCAGCGCCTCGCGTCGTTTTGGAACGTTGTCTTGTCCGCGGATAGTCGAGTCGAGCCGACTGCTTCTGTCGGAGAGCAACAAACGAATGAACATCTATTTTCGGAGGTCCGCGCGGGTTCTTGTGATCGGCGGTGGACCCCCCTTCCGGGTGCGCGGAGGGCGCCAGGGGTATCGATGGAGATGCCGCCGTGGGGTTTCAGATCCGTGCGGATCTTCGACAGCGTGTGTTTATGGTGCGCCCTGTTCCTCTATTCCGGGCGGCCCCCGAGGAGGCCAAGGCGATGAAGCGGGTCGTTGTCGCCAACCAGTTGGCGGTCACGAGGCTCTCGCGGTTGCTGGAGAATGGCCCTTTGGAGGCCCAGGCCATCAGAGGAGTGCAAACGGCACGGGCACGCTTGCATACCCTGACACACTCGCGGTGCGGAAAGAAATGCGACGGAGGAGGGGGAGGATAAGTTTCGACCTCGGGGGGTCCTCGCCAGGCCTTGTGCTGTGAAAAAGCGAGCGGGTCCCCGCGAAGGGGTGCAGACCTCAGGGGAGGGGTCCAGACCTCAGGGGAGCCACGCTGTGCAAAAATCACGGCGTCGGACGTCCAGGGTGGGCTGGGGGTGCTTCCGCCTGTCACGACATGTCTGCAGACAATCCCGTTGCGCACTGCCCCGCGAATCCGCCACTACGCCCAGGAGGGCGCGCGAGGGAGGGCGTGGCGGGACGGGGGTCAGGAGCAGCGTCAGTCGGGGAGAGGCTCAGGGGGATGCATCGAGCCCCAGTAGCCTTGACCACCTGAAATACGATGGGAGCAACATTCGGCGACTACAAACGGTATAGTTACGCTGGGGTGTGGTTTGCGATCGGCATCGTCGGGGCCTGGGGAGCACGACGCTGTCCTCGTCGGGCCTCCTCCGGGCGCGGCGTAGAGCTCCGTCGAGGTCCTCGCCCGCACTCCAGGGTGCCACCAGGGTGCCAGTTGCAAACCACACCCTTTGCAAACCACACCCTTCGGAGTCGCCGAAGCATAGCCCCAGTCACCCACTCATCGCCGATGGGAGCGCGACAGCCAGGCCCGCCCAAGAGCGCTGCGGCCTCGTTCTTTCGGGGTCCTCTCGTGGATCCTTCGGCGACGCATCGCCGGTTTTCCAGGTCGACTCGCCGATTCCAGGTCGACGTTTCTCGCCCTGTCGTTGTCCCTCACCTCGGCGCCAGCGTTCAAGTTGGATCGCCGCCAGCGGCCCGGAATCGGCCGACATGGACCGTTGTGCTCTCTCGGGAGGTCTCGATCGTTCAAGGTGGAACAGCCCACGTCGATGCCTTGATGTTTTTGAATGCGGGACGTCTTGATGTCTTGATGTTCCCGGAAAGGGCGTAGGCCCAGGGTTCTCATTTAGTGGGTTTATCCCCGGTTTTGATTTGAAGAGGGTCGGCGAAATTATTTTGCGTAAATAACGAGGTACAGTGCTGATTTTCAGTCGACAAAGTGCGTTTCGCGCGTGCCCGCTCGAGGAAAGTGCGCCCCCCATCTCGGATCCTCTATAAAAACAGAGTCCGCAGACCCCCGTTTTCCCTCGTAAAAAAGAGGGTGCGGAGCGTTTGTCATATAATCCTTGACAAATAACGAGGTCTGGAGCCCCGACCGCGACGCGGAAAAGCGCCCCGCGCGCAGGAATTCCGAGGATGTCTCGCGCGTGCCGCGTCCCGCGCGCAGGAATTTCGAGGATGTCTCGACTAATTCGCTTGTTTTTTCAGGATTTCTTAGAATTGTGGCAGGATATCTCGAGCGAAACGCTTTTTCCCGGAAAGGGCATGGGCCCAGGGTTCTCTTTTAGTTGGTCTTCCCCCCGGTTTTTACTTGAAGGGGGCCGGCGGAATTCTTGCGCGATAAATTACGAGGTCGAAGGGGGCCGGCGGATTTCAATTGTGAGGACGAAGGCAATTTTTCGCCACCCCTCACGCAGATCGTGCTCTTGGAATTTTACTGCCTTTAAGGAAACCTCGATATTTCACAGGTGAAGTCCACTTTTTTCCGACATCGACTTTAAACGATAAAAAAACGAGGTAAACGCGTTCGCTCGATAAATAACAAGGTGCCGCGGCCTCCGGAACGGCGCTGGGAACAAAGTTTTGGATTCTTGAAGTTGCATAAGTTCGGAAATAGCAGAAATCCCATGTGTTTTTCCCGGAAAGGGCGCGGGCCCAGGGTTCTCTTTTAGTAGGTTAACCCCCCGGCACCCCTGCGACTTGGGCCGGCGAAATTATTTTGCGATAAATAACGAGGTCGCGTAGGGCCGGCGAATTAAACATTGAGGATGTCTCGAGCGAAACGCTAGTTTTTCAGAATTTCTTGAGGATGTCTCGAGCGAAACGTTTGTTTTGTGTGATAGATTGTCTTCTCCTGGGGACCAGAATTCAGAGGATCTCTGAAGTAAAATGCTTGTTTTCACGTGCCCAGGTCTTGAGGATGTCTCGAGCGAGACGCTTGGTTTCACGCCTCCAGGTGGCCCAGACAGATGTCTAGCATGAGGATTTGTTGAGGATGTCTCGAACCAGAGGCTTGTTTTCACGTGTCCAGGTCGCCCAGGCGGATGTCTAGCATGAGCATTTGTTGAGGATGTCTCGAGCGAAACGTGTGTTTGCACGTGTCCAGGTGGCACAGGCGGAGGTCTAGCATGAGGATGTGCTGACAACGTCTTGAGCGAAACTGGTGTTTTCACGTGTCCAGGTCGCCCAGGCACAGCACAGCCCTCGGCACGGTACATCACTATCGATACCCTTAGCATTGCAGCCTGGCATGTTGCCTGGCACGTTCCGCGGAGCGTCCCGTGGCGAGTCCCCCTGGCACGTCCCTCGGCACGTCCATTGGCACGTTCCGTAGCGCGTCCCCTTGGCACGTCCCGCGGTGCGTGCCCATGGCACGTCCCCTGGCACGTCGCCTGGCGCGTCCCTTGGGACGTTCCGCGGCGCGTCCTCTTGGCATGTTCCCTCTGTCGATTAGTTCTGGGGCAGCTACCTCTGCTCAGGCAGCTCGAGCTTACGCTCCAGATCAGTTCGGTGAGGACTCGGATGCCAGGGAGGACTCGATCCACAACGCTATGTAGAGCACAATCGCGGCATGGCACATCGCAGTTCAGCACGGCGTAGCACAGCACAGCCGTCGGCACGGTACATCAAGATCGATACACTCAACTATGCACCTTGGCACGTTCCTTGGCGCGTTCCGTGGCGAGTCTACCTGGCACGTCGCGCGGCGCGTCCCCTGGCACGTCCCTCGGCACGTCCATTGGCACGTTCCGTAGCGCGTCCCCTTGGCACGTCCCGCGGTGCGTCCCCATGGCACGTCCCCTGGCACGTCGCCTGGCGCGTCCCTTGGGACGTTCCGCGGCGCGTCCTCCTGGCATGTTCCCTCTGTCGATTAGTTCTGGGGCAGCTACCATCTGCTCAGGCAGCTCGAGCTTACGCTCCAGATCAGTTCGGTGAGGACTCGGATGCCAGGGAGGACTCGATCCACAACGCTATACAGAGCACAATCGCGGCATGGCACATCGCAGTTCAGCACGGCGTAGCACAGCACAGCCCTCGGCACAGTACATCATCATCGATACATTCAGCATTGCATGTGCCCGTCGCCCAATCAGGTGTCTTTGAAATGTTGCAATGCATTACATTTCTAGATTCCTTTCCGGGTTCGTGGGTCGATCATGTTTGACCCTGACCCCGCCGATCTGCGTGAGGTGTGGCACGGAATACCAGAAATGTATCAAATCCCATGTGTTTTTGACTCTGACCCCGCCGATCTGCGTGAGGGGTGGCGCGGAATTCCAGACATGTAGCAAATCGCATGTGTTTTTGGACCCTGACCCCGCCGATCTGCGTGAGGGGTGGCACGGAATTCCAGAAATGTGGCAAATCCCCTGTGTTTTCGGATCCTGACCCCGCCGACCTGCGTGAGGGGTGGCACCGAATTTCAGATATGTGGCAAGTCCCATGTGTTTTCGGACCTTGACTTCGCCCAGGAGGGCCCAGGAGGCTCCAGGAGAGCCCAGGAGAGCCCAGGAGGGCCCAGGAGAGCCCAGGAGGGCCCAGGAGGACCCAGGAGGCTCCAAGAGGCACCAGGGGGCCCAAGGAGGAGGGCCCAGGAGAAGCTCCAGGAGGCTCCAGGAGAGCCCAGGAGGGCCCAAGAGGTCCAAGGAAGACCCCTCCGTAGCCATTTTGGCTCAAGAGCTGTGCTGGCTGCAGCCTTGCGCGATCGCTGGCCAGCGCAGCCATGGCCGCTGCACCGACGGCGCCTATGCATGCGGCACCTGTCAGTCCAGAGGCGGAGACACAGACACTCATCTCCCGATGCTCAAGAAACGTATCCGGTCCGCTGGCTACTCCCTACGATTTTCATCAAGTTGCCCTCAGGAACCTTAGGTTCGACGATGAAGCTCTCCTGCGCGGAACGTTCTCCACGGACGCGCTGAGACATTGGGGAGCAATTCTCGACGTCAACAATGGAGGCGGTGATTGGTACAGCCTGTCAGAGCCCGCCGATCACGTGGACGTATTCGTATCCCATAATTGGTCCAACTCTCGGGCCGATAAGTTCTTGATTCTGGCGCTTCACTTCAATCTGAGGCCAGCAGTTTTCAGCACAGTATTGGTTGTTTTTGTAGTAGCTCCTCTCTCAGTTGCTGGAGTTCTACCAACGACTGTGTTCACAGACCCTGACGGAAGAAGGATGGGGCCATGGTGTCAGGTGTTCGGTTTGGCAATTTTTCGTTTACTTTGTCATGTTGGCAGGAGATTTGCAGACTACGCCCATGTCGTGGAAAGATGCTTTTCCTGGACAGGACATGCATACACCAAACCGATGATCTTCTCAGGCAGCGTGGCATCGAGCATATTGCTGCGTTCTTATACTTTTCGTGGAGCTTGTTGGTTTGTTATTCCGATGAGTACCTCCAGAAGCTGTGGACCGTGTACGAGGTTTCGGCCTTCATGCTGTTACACCCTGGGAGTGCTATACATGTCAGGCATGCGTGGTTCACCAAATGTCTCATATCTGGTATTGTTATCGTGTTTCTCTTAAACATGGTTTGGCACATACTGTATATACACCATGGCACTTGGGGCTCACTGCCGATCGGGAGGGTGAGCTTATATCTGACAGCGATATGTTCGGTGCCAGCATCAGTCGCAATTGGAGTTATGGTGCTGAAGCTTGCACGGGTACGGATGCGCATTTCAGAGCGGGTCAAGAGTTTTTGCTTCGACGAAGCAAGGTGTTACAACGAAGGTGATCGTAGAGTTGTGAAGCGAAATATAGTTGCCTTTATGAAGCACCAGGGCCATGCAGAAACGGAAGCAAGCGAAGCCGACATCATACGCGAAGTCGATGCCATGGTCCAGTCTGATGTGCCGATACTCTTTGAAGCATCCCTCGGGCGCGTTGGCATCCCATACCATCTTGTTGCGCTCGTCTCGTTGCCTTACTGCTTGCAGACTATCGACTACGCATGTGCAGCCGTCCGTGACGGTACGCCTGTCAGGTCGTTGTGTATATTCATGGTGTATCAGATGACCAATGGTTTAGCTGCGGCCCCGGTCTGTCTCGCCCTCTCGACCACACTTGCCAGCAGGCTGGTGCAAGATGACCGTATCGGGCACACCCGAAGCATATGTATTGTGGCAATAGCTGCTGTCGCGGTTCTCGGTGGAAGCTTCTGTCTTTTGAACATAGTGGTGAAGCGGGCAATCGAAGGAGGCCACTTGGAGTTGGGCGTCTTCATTGCTACACTATGCTGCTATTACTTGGCCGCTCTGTTTTTTTACCAGCCACCCGAATCCAATGTGCACCGTCGCCGTCTGAAAGACGAGTAATCATCGTCCCGTGTCAACGGCCACGTTCAAGCAAGTCCACTGGCAGCACATCGACAAAGCAGTTGGGGCTGCTGGGGAAGGTCGGGTGAGCGAGTGCAGGCAATATATTACTGTTGTGGTGCCCGTTATTCTTATTCGAATTCGATGATTGCTGGAGCGTCCACAAAGTTTTGGACCAGCACGGCTCTAGGTTGAAGCCCTGGAACTGGAACGGCCAGTTCGCGCGGTGTTCCAACATACTTTGACCGAGTTGTGGTAACCGGTGGTCCCCGTAGTTTTAGCGCCTCGATTTTGTAACACATGCGGTTGAGTAGCGTCTCGTATATCCGCGGGGCGACTGAATGAAATGGTTCTTGTATTCGCATGCGGAAAAAAAAAAAGAGGTCAAAGGAAGACCCAGGAGGGCCCAGGAGCCCTTACGAGGGATCGTGGCCCTGGGAGCGCTGACGTAGCGTAATTTACGAGGGATCGTGGCCCTGGGAGCGCGGTTGTAGTGTAATTTACGAGGGATCGTAGCCCTGGGAGCGCGGACGCAGTGTAATTTTCCCGGAAAGGGCGCGGGCCCAGGGTTCTCTTTTAGTAGGTTAACCCCCCGGCCCCCCTGCGACTTGGGCCGGCGAAATTATTTTGCGAGCGGGCACGCACGGAGTAGGGCCGGCGAAATTATGTTTGAGGATCTCTCGAGCGAAACGCTTGTTTTTCAGAATTTGTTGAGGATGTCTCGAGCGAAACGTTGGTTTTGCAGAGTTGGGGATGTCTCGAGCGAAACGCTTGGTTTCAGAATTTGTTGAGGATGTCTCGAGCGACACGCTGGTTTTGCAGAGCCGACCGCGACGCGGAAAAGCGCCCCGCGCGCAGGAATTCCGATGATGTTTCGCGCGTGCCGCGTCCCGCGCGCGGGTATTTGGATTTCTTGCGGTTTTGACAGGATGTCTCGAGCGAAACGCTTGTTTTTCATAATTTGTTGAGGATGTCTCGAGCGAAACGCTGGTTTTGCAAAATTGGAGGATGTCTCGAGCGGTGGCCTCGTGGGGGGCCAGAATTCAAAGGATGTCTCAGGCGAAATGCTTGTTTTCACGTCCCGCTCGCAGGAATTCCGAGGATGTCTCGCGCGTGCAGCGTCCCGCGCGTAGGAATTCAGATGATTTTGACAGGATGTCTCGAGCGAAACGCTTGTCCCCAGCACGTTCCGTAGCGCGTCCCCTTGGCAGGTCCCGCGATGCGTCCCCATGGCACGTCCCTTGGCACGTCGCTTGGCGCGTCCCTTGAGACGTTCTGCGTCGCGTCCTCCTGGCATGTTCCCCTGTCCATTAGCTCTGGGGCAGCTACTATGTGTTCAGGCAGCTCGAGCTTAAGATCCAGATCAGTTCGGTCAGGACTCGGATGCAAAGGAGGACTCGATCCACGAGGCTATAGAGCACAATCGCGCCATGGCACATCGCAATTCAGCACGGCGCAGCACAGCACTGATTTCGGCACGGTACATCAAGGTCGATGCACTCAGCATTGCAACTTGGCACGTTCCTTGGCACGTTCCGTGGGGCGTCCTTTGGCGAGTCCCCCTGGCACGTCGCGTCGCGCGTCCCCTGGCACATCCCGTGGCACATCCATTGGCACGTTCCGTAGCGCGTCCCCTTGGCACGTCCCGCGGTGCGACCCCATGGCACGTCCCCTGGCACGTCGCCTGGCGCATCCCTTGGGACGTTTCGCGGCGCGTCCTCCTGGCATGTTCCCCTGTCCATTAGCTCTGGGGCAGCTACTATGTGTTCAGGCAGCTCGAGCTTAAGATCCAGATCAGTTCGGTCAGGACTCGGATGCAAAGGAGGACTCGATCCACGAGGCTATAGAGCACAGTCGCGCCATGGCACATCGCAATTCAGCACGGCGCAGCACAGCACAGCCCTCGGCAGGGTACATCAAGATCGATACCTTCAGTAATGCATTTGCCCGTCACCCAATCAGGTGTCTTTGAAAACGCTGCCATGTGTTACAGTTCTACATTCCTTTCCGGGTTCGTGGGTCGATCATGTTTGAGGATGTCCCTAGCGAAACGCTTGTTTTTCAGAATTTGTTGAGGATGTCTCGAGCGAAACGCTGGTGTTGCAGAGTTGGGGATGTCTCGAGCGAAACGCTTGTTTTCAGAATTGGTTGAGGATGTCTCGAGCGAAACGCTGGTTTTGCAGAGCCGACCGCGACGCGGAAAAGCGCCCCGCGCGCAGGAATTCCGATGATGTTTCGCGCGTGCCGCGTCCCGCGCGCAGGAATTTCGAGGATGTCTCGACTAATTCGTTTGTTTCGCCAGGATTCCCTTGCATCTTGGCAGGATGTCTCGAGCGAAATGTTTGTCTTTCATAATTGGTTGAGGATGTTTCGAGCGAGACGATGGTTTTGCAAAATTGGGGGATGTCTCGAGCGGGGACCTCGTGGGAGGCCCCCGCTCGAGGTCCAGTTCAGAGGATGTCTCAGGCGAAATGTTGTTCTCACGTCCCGCTCGCAAGAGTTCCGAGGATGTCTCGCGCGTGCCGCGTCCCGCGCGCAGGATGTCTCGAGCGAAACGCTTGTCCCCAGCACGTTCCGTCGCGCGTCCCCTTGGCACGTCCCGCGGTGCGTCCCCATGGCACGTCCCTTGGTACGTCGCCTGGCGGGTCCCTTGAGACGTTCTGCGTCGCGTCCTCCTGGCATGTCCCCTTGTCAATCAGCTCTGGGGCAGCTACTATGTGTTCAGGCAGCTCGAGCTTAAGATCCAGGTCAGTTCGGTCAGGACTCGGATGCAAAGGAGGACTCAATCCACGAGGCTATAGAGCACAATCGCGCCATGGCACATCGCAATTCAGCACGGCGCAGCACTGCACAGATTTCGGCACGGTACAGCAAGATCGATACACTCAGCAGTGCAACTTGGCACGTTCCTTGGCACGTTCCGTGGGGCGTCCCTTGGCGAGTCCCCCTGGCACGTCGCGTGGCGCGTCCCCTGGCACATCCCGTGGCACATCCATTGGCACGTTCCGTAGCGCGTCCCCTTGGCACGTCCCGCGGTGCGACCCCATGGCACGTCCCCTGGCACGTCGCCTGGCGCATCCCTTGGGACGTTTCGCGGCGCGTCCTCCTGGCATGTTCCCCTGTCCATTAGCTCTGGGGCAGCTACTATGTGTTCAGGCAGCTCGAGCTTAAGATCCAGATCAGTTCGGTCAGGACTCGGATGCAAAGGAGGACTCGATCCACGACGCTATAGAGCACAATCGCGCCATGTCACATCGCAATTCAGCACGGTGCAGCACAGCACAGCCCTCGGCAGGGTACATCAAGATCGATACACTTAGCATTGCATTTGCCCGTCACCCAATCAGGTGTCTTTGAAAATGTTGCACGTGTTACAGTTCTATATTCCTTTCCGGGTTCGTGGGTCGATCATGTTTTACATAGTTTGTTGAGGATGTCTCGAGGGAAACACTGGTTTTGCAAAATTGGGGGATGTCTCGAGCGGGGGCTTCGTGGCGGGCCAGAATTCAGAGGATGTCTCAAGCGAAATGCTTGTTTTCGTGCCCTGCTCGCAGGAATTCCAAGGATGTCTCGCGCGTACCGCGTCCCGCGCGCAGGAATTTCGAGGATGTCTCAACTAATTCATTTGTTTTGCCAGGATGTCCTTGGATTTTGACCGGATGTCTCGAGCGAAACGCTTGTTCCCGGAAAGGGCGCGGGCCCAGGGTTCTCTTTTAGTAGGTTAACCCCCCGGCCCCCCTGCGACTTGGGCCGGCGAAATTATTTTGCGAGCGGGCACGCACGGAGTAGGGCCGGCGAAATTATTTTTGAGGATGTCTCGAGCGAAACGCTTGTTTTTCAGAATTTGTTGAGGATGTCTCGAGCGAGACGCTGGTTTTGCAGAGTTGGGGATGTCTCGAGCGAAACGCTTGGTTTCAGAATTTGTTGAGGATGTCTCGAGCGACACGCTGGTTTTGCAGAGCCGACCGCGACACGGAAAAGTGCCCCTCGCGCAGGAATTCCAAGGATGTCTCTCGCGTGCCGCGTCCCGCGAGCGGGTATTTGGATTTCTTGGGATTTTGACAGGATGTCTCGAGCGAAACGCTTGTTTTTCCCGGAAAGGGCGCGGGCCCAGGGTTCTCTTTTAGTAGGTTAACCCCCCGGCCCCCCTGCGACTTGGGCCGGCGAAATTATTCTGCGATAAATAACGAGGTCGCGTAGGGCCGGCGAATTAAAAATTGAGGATCTCTCGAGCGAAACGTTTGTTTTTTCAGAATTCGTTGAGGATGTCTCGAGCGAAACGCTTGTTTTGTGTTATAGATTGTCCTCTCCTGGGAATATGAATTCGGAGGATCTCTCAAGTGAAATGCTTGTTTTCACGTGCCCAGGTCTTGAGGATGTCTCGAGCGAGACGCTTGGTTTCACGCCTCCAGGTTGCCCAGACAGAGGTCTAGCGCCAGGATTTGCTGAGGATGTCTCGAGCGAGACGCTTGGTTTGACGCGTCCTCGTCGCCCAGGCGGATGTCTAGCATGAGGATGTGTCGAGGAAGTCTCGATCGAGACGCTTGTTTGCACGTGTCCAGGTGGCACAGGCGGAGGTCTAGCATGAGGATGTGCTGATAACGTCATGAGCGAAACGTGTGTTTTCACGTGTCCAGGTCGCCCAGGCACAGCACAGCCCTCGGCACGGTACATCGACATCGATACCCTCAGCATTGCAGCCTGGCATGCTGCCTGGCACGTTCCGCGGAGCGTCCCGTGGCGAGTCCACCTGGCACGTCGCGCGGTGCACGTCCATTGGCACGTTCCGTAGCGCGTCTCTTTGGCACGTCCCGTGGTGCGTCCCCATGGCACGTCCCCTGGCACGTCGCCTGGCGCATCCCTTGGGACGTTCCGCGGCGCGTCCTCCTGGCATGTCCCCTCTGTCGATTAGCTTTTGGGCAGCTACCATCTGCTCAGGCAGCTCGAGCTTAAGATCCAGATCAGTTCGGTCAGGACTCGGTGGCAACGAGGACTCGATCCACAACGCTATATATAGAGCACAATCGCGGCATGGCACATCGCAGTTCAGCACGGCCAAACACGGCACAGCCTTCGGCACGGTACATCAAGATCGATACACTGAACATTGCACCTTGGCGCGTTCCTTGGCGCGTTCCGTGGCGAGTCCACTTGGCACGTCGCGCGGCGCGTCCCCTGGCACGTCCCGCGGCACGTCCATTGGCACGTTCCGCAGTGCGCCCCCTTGGCACGTCCCGCGGTGCAT